AACGAGCTCGATTTGGAGAATGCAGCTGCCGCGGCTCGTCGAGACGATGACCAGGCCATGCCGCAGGCATTACAGGAAGGGTGTACACAGGGTGACGATGGAGGTAACGTTCGCCCGACTTGTTCGTCAACTGAGGGTCTGCCAAGTGAAGGGGTAGGGGCTAGGGGTTCGAAGATAGCCAAAACCGAACCCCAAACCAATGTAGTGTGATGGCATGGGCTGCACATGCCAATCAGAACGGGACAGCAGTAACGCTGCACCTGCTCCCCCGTAAGTCTGTCGACGCCAAGGCGGTCCAGACGGATCAATGAATATACTGGTCATAAGACACCCTTTGCATTCGTGCAGGCATTAAAACTCCGAAGGGTTAAACAAAACGTACGTTTCGTGTGCGACAGCCCAACATGCCTGGAAAGCCCTGCTTTGTTTGGAAACACTTTCTTGCAGATGTGACATGTGAAATTGCCTTCTTCATGAAGGTTACAACTGTTGGCCAAGAGTTTTTTTTCTGCTTTGGGGAATTCGTACTTTACCTTGTTTCGGGCGGAGGGGCAGGCTCGGGCACCAATGCGAACTCATAACATGGTGGCCTCGGTTGCTTGAGTTTCAAACGTTTTCTAACAAACTTGTCCTCACCCTCAATGTGCTGAGCAGCCTGTCTCATTTCATGCTGGCATTGCATCCGCTAAGCTCTCATACTCCACAGCCCCAAATCAGCTGCCAAATCCATATTCGCCACCCCCTCCGGCAGTCCCGATATGTGCTCCACCAAATCTTCGCCAGCAACGCTACACGGAGCTTTCGTAACAGTAACAATTCCGCTCGACCTCCAATTCCTGCCTCAAAACGTAAAAGCGGCTATCTAAATTGGTATAACGCAACTGCTGTTCCCTTGTTTGCGCCTGTTGACAAAATTGTAGTTTGGACTGGTGCTTGGTTGGGGCACTGACCCCATATTCGATGTTCTCCCCAATCACCATTCGAGTTTCTCGAATCCCTAACAACATCCTGCAACAATTGTGTCAAGTCCCTGCCAGAATCTTAACAAGTACCTGAGAGGCTTTCTCGAACCGCTCTGAACCATATGCCAAACTGCTAACTATTCCAGAAAATCATTCAAGACGTGGAAAAACAAGTTGGGGACCCATCATCTGAGTATTGGACCAACCACTCCCCAAGCATATTAGCCCAGGAAGTACCTGTTTAACGCTTGCATAGGGTCACCTCAGAGAGGCTCACAACCAGGATGCGACATGCCATGGCATAGCACCTTCAGAATCCTAGAGTCGAGGTCCAGCAGATGCCAGCTGGAGGAGGGCTTAGCTGCCCAACCGAGTTGGTGATCACAGCTGGCTGTCCACCAGCACCTCCTCAGAACTGCTCTTTGACGGACTGCCCCTCAGACGATGCAAGCAAGGATTCTTGCAGATTTGCCGGCATTTGGGATGTTGCAGGAGTGGACTATGTGGACGCCATGTGATAAGACATGTGACGGTGGCCCTGGTCCAAGCTGCTATGTCACATGCCAACTGGTCATACACTTTGCCGTCACAGTTTCACGCACATTGCAGATCAGGTCAGTCATACCGTGAGCGGCAGCTAAACCAACCAAGCAGTGCCAATGGTTTCTGCCCATCTAGCGTGATGAAGGCACAGAAGAATCTTTTCGCAACCCGAAGCGGATTTGCTACACGTTTTTATGATAAACCATGGGAAACATTGAAGCGCTCGGCACTGATGGCCTTGCAGGAGAGCATCCAATGCAATACCGCGCCTTGCTACGATCCGGCGGACCCAGACGTTTGTCACAAGTGTTGCAGCATGTTGCAGATATCAGCCGCGCTAGCCAAGTGCAACAGGCACAGCAAACGTCGTGTCAGGAGCACGATTGCATCCTCAGTGAATGGGACGTTTGGGCCTCTCCGATGCTTCTGTAAAGACGCATCTGTGAACCAGACCTCTCGGCGGCCTGCAAAGGAGTGGTCTTCTTGCTCCGCTCGATGTGGAAAAGGGCAGAAGCATCGAGTACGTAGGGTGTGGGGACCTCATTCCGACATGTCAAGAAATGAAAGCTGTGTTCACGAATGTGATGCTCTAAGGACCCGACCGGCAACAAGCAGAGGGCGAGGATGTGAGGGTCCTATGTCGGAGCTCTTTCCCTGCGAGGTCTGAATGATGTATACCATGCCTTGCTTGTGCTAGTCCTGCACACAATTGCAGGATTCTGAGTGTCACCAGCAAGACTGTCAGTGGAGCGATTGGGATGTCTGGTCAGACTGTCACCTTCTCGGAGAAGAGTTCCCAGAGTGGAATAAATAAGTCAAGTCAAGTTGGGTTGCGCAAGGCTCGTGCAGCTGCGGGGGTGGCGTCAAGAAGCGCAAGCCCAGCATGTTTATAGATTCTATTTGCTGCCGCTGGCTCATGATGAGTCAAGGCAATCGCGTTATCGCGGTGTCACCCCGTCATGGCGGGAAGTTATGCCCGCCCGAGGTGAAGAGCGAGGTGCGGAAATTGTGGCTTATTACCATGTAACTTTGCATAACTTAGCTGGATGCCCTGCCGCAGATTTCGCCTTGCAATACCCATCCTTGTGACCGCGGCTGTGTGGAATTCCTAGCATTCCACTGTTCTTGTGGAGTTTGTGACTAGTGACCAATCCTCTCATCTTCCAAGGTTGATGCTGTATGGGCCCCCTGGCAGGAGATCCCCAACACAATGTTTGTTAGAAGCAACTTTGGAGCTCTGCAGTCAGAGCCGGGGCAGGAGTGGTCCAAGTGCTCCGCCTCGTGCTCTCGCGGCTTTCGCTCACGTTCACGATTGATTGAGGTCTGCTGCACATGCCCACTCATCAGCCTGCCATGCAGATTTATGTTTTTGCAGGTTGAAGCCAACCACTGTGGTCTGCCTGTTGGTGGCCTGCGTGAGCAGTTCGAAAGCTGCTCCTCACCTTCCTGCGCCAGTCACCTAGCCGCTGCCGTCGTGTATGCAGAGGATGCAGAGGATAGATTCTGCCGCGCTGCTAATAAGAAATGCATAAGGGATACTCTTGCTGAACAAGACATTGACGCAACAACAACTGTGCTAAGATCACAGACCGGGATTGCCAGCTTTCTCTCTGGAGCAGCTGGTCGAAATGCAGCTGTTGCAAGCCTACAAAACTTGAGTGCCAACATTTGTGCAGATGAAATCAAATCCAAGTTGGGCTGGTTGAGGTTCCTGTTTCGGAATCCGCGAACGCACCCGCACCATCAAAGACTTTGCCACAGGTGGAGGACAGCAGAAGGCTTAGTTCTTTTGTTGGCGGAGATTTTAAGCTGAACACTGTATCTCTGCAAAGGCCATGCGATGGACTCGCTCTAAAAGTCATAGAAGCCTGTAATGATGACGACGATGATCCTGCCTGCCCTACATGTTGATGGGTGTGGATACTTGCATCCGCCGGAATTTGTCTCTGCACTCTTCTTTGGTCCTCCCCACCTAAGCCATGAGTTTGTTCCTGCGCGTTGAAGGGTATGTAAGGGAATACACGTCTGGAGAAGAAATCATATTGTGGCGTGTTGCTTGTTGGTCAGAGTTATTATGATTCTGCTGTGTCGTGCTTGGCCTCAAAGAAATCTCGCTATGCTCTGGATCAAGCGATAATGAAGCCATTTTGCCATGACTGCAGAATTTGAGGGCATCCTGGACCACTACGCTGTACTTGGATTAGATCAGCAATGCAGTTGTGCAGATATTCGCAAAGCTTTTCGCGCTGCTGCTCTGAAGTGGCATCCAGACAAAGCTGGAAGCTCACCAGATGCGCGACGTCGCTTTCAAGAAGCAGCTGATGCTTACGAGGTTTTATGTGATCCGCAGAAGAGACAAGCTTATGATGCCGTATTGGTGCACCAAACATCACGGGCCGAACCGGCCTCAAACCATAGAGCACATCATATGAGGAGCCAGCGTCCCCCTCAAGCACATCCCTCTGGAAGACAGCCGCAAAACTTTGGAGCAGGGCCCCATGGGGGCTATGCCCAAACTTGGAGTCAGAATCTGAATGGATATCCTCCGGATAGCTGTGAGACTTCTCACAGAGGTTCACAGCCTAGGAAAGACAACAGGCCAACAGCGGCTGAGCTTCATCCGCAGGGTTTCGGACCACCCTTTCGGGCGAGCATTTCAGACCTACAGACTTTGGCAACCTTTTGCCATGAGGGAGCTGTTTGGCTACCGAAGGTCAAGGATGTCAAGTGGTGCAGGCCTGACGGAGACATAAAACGGGTACAGCTTTCTTTTGTTGCGCATTATACATCATCAAGGAGTAGAGGCAATGCTGTATCACCACTGGTGCAACTGCTTCAAACCTCCACCTGTGATGCTTTGCATACCTCCTTTCAAGATCATTTGGACAGAGTAGCCGGCAGATGTGACTGTCGGCATTTTCGCATGCAGCTGCTGGATTTCCCTGGTCGTGCTGAGCTGCAGTTTCGCGTGAAGTTGTGGCTAGAAGGCGCCACGTCTGAAACTACGATACTGTTACCTTGTGGGGCTCAAATTTCTACAAAACTCAGCGTTGCAATGTTTTCCTGCACCAGAGAGACTTGTTGCTGTAACTGCAGTTTTGGAGCTCAATTGACTTCCTGCCCTATGTTCCAAGGTGACACTGCAGCTGTGCTGCGCAGCTTTGACGCTGCTTGGGAGCTTGCTCCGACAAGAAAGATGAAGGATTGTCCACTTATGTGATGTCTTGGCCTGCAGGGCTTAAAATTCAGCGGGAAGGTTTCACTGGTCTTGCGTTGCCAGTCTTGGGCTTGGGACCCGGTACCTTCACGCAGCCTTTGCAACCCGAAGATTTGGCGCCATTATGGCGCTTGACGGGCTTGCCGTGCAGCCTGAGGTTGGTCGAATGTGGCTTGCAACCCAAGCTAAATGTTTTGAAGTCAGGAAGTGTGAGGTTCGCAGCCTCCTTCAAGGAGTGCCTCTGTCAACTTCAGTCAGCAGAAGAAAGAGCTTCAGGAATGCCTTTGCAAACCCAGATTTGCAGCATCGTGGCACATTCGGACCTGACCAATCCTGGCCAGGCATCGCGGGCTTGTGGGGAACCACTGCCGCAGGAGAGTTTTGTTTGCATCCTATCTGCTCTCTGCTCGAACAAACTGAGTAGGATTGTCAACTCAGCGAGTGGAGCGAGTGGTCGAAGTGCACCTTAAGCTGCGGTGGCGGCCAGAAGGCACGGCAAATTGTATATGTGTTCACAGATGTAGAGCTTTGCTTACTGAAAGCTGAATGCTCCCTGCATGTTTTTTTCCTTGTGGTACAGGTGAGAAGTCAGAATTCCAGAACAGGGCTCAGCTCCTTTTTGGGGTTGCGGGGTTGTCCTTCCACAAGCGTACCTACTCGAAGCCAACAACTCAACTGCAAATCGATTGCCCAGGCTGTTTTCCGCAACCATTTGCACTTTCCCGTGTCTGTTTGTGTCGAGATCATGCTGAACAGAGGTCCGCAATAGCTTCTTGTTGAGACCCCATCTTCCTAAACGCTCGGCGCTCCTGATATTGGAGCATTATCTGGAGACATCTTTTAACACTAAGTCAAGCACTTGTCGAAGATGTGGATGATCACAGGAGCGCAGACGTGAGGTTCAACGGGAGCCAGCAAGGGGCGGAAAGGCGCTTGCTGGTAATTTTTGCGCTGAGTTGTGCGAGTTGATTCTGTCAAAGGCCTGCGACAGCAGGCTCAGCATAATTGAGCCATGCAATACGCAGCTCTGCAAGCAAGGACCCTGGAGGTCGTCAGAGGTGGTTGTGAGTTCTGAACACCCTAGTGTTCAGCAAACATTTTTGAATTCCCCCCCTTTAATAATAGGT